AAAAAAAAAAAAAAAAACACATCTTAGTAAAACCAATACCTTCTCAGCTTCGCATCGAAGCTAAAAAATAATGCTAAATGAACTTATAATATTATACGTTATTCTTATATTGTGTTAGTATTTATTTTAATCTAATGATTCTCAATTATTCATAATACTATCTTATTGTTTTATATGTTTCATATTAATGATTTTAACGTACTTGATAAAGAATATTTTGTTTAAAAATTTCTAAGTTCAACGATATATACGTATGTAAATATAGATGAATACTTAAACATATAAAAATATATATTTTATTTCTATCATACGAGGTTGAGATATTTAATATCGTATAAGTAAGTATAGTTATTCTATAAAGGTCAATTCTTGAGAAATACAAAGTTATATTTAAAAACATTCTGTCACTGTTTGCTCTGTATAAATTATATTTTTATTAATATTATATTTTTTTCACATTTATCATTATTCTTTGTTCGAATTAAAATCAAATTATGAACAATATGATTTAAAAAGGTTATATTGGACCTATTAAAAAAACATTATTTACTTAAAACATCGACTAAAAAAAAAATGATTAAGAATAAACTTTAAATTTTAAAATAATATTTCCTTATTTTGGCTGTGTTTTAAATTATCTATTAATCATGTCATACACTTATAATATTTGATTTTTGTTAATATTGTTTGAATAGTTCTAGTTTTTATGGTTTAAAAAAAATATGTTTGTTAGACTGTTTTTCAAAGAAATTTATAATAATAATAATCTAAACGATATTATCATGATTTAATAAAAAAAAATTTAAATATACAAGTGGGTCACAAAGATATGACAAATTAAATGACTTTAAATTGGATTAATATTTTATGTTAGTATATTTTTTTTAATTTTTACTTGAAGATATAAAAAAAATTTAACTTACGGGTCTAAATATACTACTAAAATAATGAATTGAATAATTATAACATAAGTAAATTAAATTGAATCGTAATATATAACATATACAATGTTATATAAAACAATTACAAAAATGTGATTTGAAAACAACAAAAAACTATCATTAAATTATTTAATTTTGAGCGGATTTTTACTAATTTTCTAATGCTAAATTTTACATATTAAAATTTTTTCTCAAGCATCATTAATGATGTATTAGGCTGATATATAACTAAAAAATTCAAACATTTTTTTTTTGAAATCACGTCTCCAAACAGAAATAATGCATCTAAAATACGTGTATTTTTATCAAAGTTCTATATTAGTAGGTCTCTAAATTACAAGAAAATTGTTTAAAATATTTGGGATGTAGTTGAAACATTCATTATATACTATACAACACCACATTTCAAAATCACAATAAAATAATAACTTCTTCATGGTCTTATATTAGCTCAAAAATGCCAATTTCACATAAAAAGTGCCATTTTTAGAAAGTAATTTAAGTTTATAATTTCATATAAATTTTTTTTTTTATGTAAACATTAAGTTATAATAAGGTTGAGTCTAAAATTTTAATTCGATTAAGTCAATATTGACTTATCTGTGTGTTTCTTAACGTTCTGGCTATTTTTAACATTTTTTACATTAAAATAGCCATAAAAATGGGAATGTCGTAAAAAAAAATTGTTTTAATTTAAATNTTAGCCATAAAAATGGGAATTTCGTAAAAAAAAATTGTTTTAATTTAAATATAGCATAAAGAATAAACCCTGAAAATTTAAGAAAAATGCTCTTACCGAACCAATTTCTGTCATCGATACGCTAAAAGGTCACAAATCGAATTTAGTCGAACACATTACCATCGTCAATTGAAAAAATTGCCTTCGTTTTCCATAAATGGAGGAAACACCAAAAAAATTATAAATTTAAAAATCGTTAACTCGGACATTTTTCAATTTTTT